GAGCAGCTTTATTCACAATATCCCAAAAGTGGAAGCAACCCAAATCCACCAGTAGGTGAGTGGATAAACAAAATGTATATTCATACAATGGAGTAGTACTCAGCAATAAAAAGCAATGATCTGTGATACACACAACCACATGGATGAATCTCAGAATCATTATGCTAAATGAAAGAAGCAGCAGAAGAATATACGTATTGTATTTTTCCATTGATGTAATGTTCTAGAAAATGCAAACTAATCCATAATGATAAAATCAGATTAGAGGTTGCTCCTTTGGGATAGTTGGAAATGTTCTAGATCTTGATTGTGGCAGTGGTTTCACAGATGTATCTATTGGTCAGAACTCATCAATGTGTACACTTTAAATGGATGAAGTTTATTATATTCAATAATGGTGATTAAATGAAGGGAAATTAGGCAAAGGAAGACAGAAAAATAATTAAATGCATGAAACTTTTTTTTCAGTATACATTTTCTTTGCTAAGTGCATTCTTACCATTTTCATCCCACCTTAAAAATAAATTTCTTCACTATTTTAACCTACATTTAGATACCTTGCTATGCCAACTTGTGACTTCTTAAGAAAGTTATGATCGAGAAAATATGACTTTGTAAGAAAAATTGTGCCCTGATAGTATGAAATTGACATCATTGGTGACCTACAGTTGTGGCAAATGGGCTGTAAAAGGATAATTTAGCTTATAGAAATTCTTATTGCTAATATCCTAAAAACCTTCATAATCTTGAATAACTTAAGATTTGTTAGATAGACTATGAAAAGCACAACTATAAAAAAGAAAAAAGTAAATACTTGGACTTTCTCAAAATTAAGCTTTTGCTCTTTGAAAGACACTGTTAAGAATATGAAAGAGACCTTAAACCACATAATGGGAGCAAGTTATTTGCAATACATCTATCTGATAAAGGATTTGTATCCAGTATATAGAAAGAACCCCTTTCTAATAGGACAACTCAATTAAAAGATGGGAAAAACAAAAACCAGACATTTCACAAAGAGTAATAGGAATGATCAATAAGTCCATGAAAATATATTCAATATTATTAGTCATCAAGTAAATGTAAATTAAAACTGAGATACTACTACATACTCATTAGAATGACTAAAGTGAAAAGACGGACATACTGTGTTGGTTATGATGTGGAGCAACCAAAATGCGCATGTACTGCTCGTGAGAATGTAAAAAATAATCAGTTTGAAAAATTCTTATCCAGTTTATTCAAGTTAACCCCACCCTTACTAAACCACCAAGAAATTCCACTGCTGTGTATTTCCTCAAGAGAAATGAACACACCAAGACATGTGCATGAAGGTTCAGAGCAGCTTTATTCACAATATCCCAAAAGTGGAAGCAACCCAAATCCACCAGTAGGTGAGTGGATAAACAAAATGTATATTCATACAATGGAGTAGTACTCAGCAATAAAAAGCAATGATCTGTGATACACACAACCACATGGATGAATCTCAGAATCATTATGCTAAATGAAAGAAGCAGCAGAAGAATATACGTATTGTATTTTTCCATTGATGTAATGTTCTAGAAAATGCAAACTAATCCATAATGATAAAATCAGATTAGAGGTTGCTCCTTTGGGATAGTTGGAAATGTTCTAGATCTTGATTGTGGTGGTGGTTTCACAGATGTATCTATTGGTCAGAACTCATCAATGTGTACACTTTAAATGGATGAAGTTTATTATATTCAATAATGTTGATTAAATGAAGGGAAATTGGGCAAAGGAAGACAGAAAAATAATTAAATACATGAAACTTTTTTTCAGTATACATTTTCTTTGCTAAGCGCATTCTTACCGTTTTCATCCCACCTTAAAAATAAATTTCTTCACTATTTTAACCTACATTTAAATACCTTGCTGTGCCAACTTGTGACTTCTTAAGAAAGTTATGATCGAGAAAATATGACTTTGTAAGAAGAATTGTTCCCTGATAGTATGAAATTGACATCATTGGTGACCTACAGTTGTGGCAAAATGGGCTGTAAAAGGATAATTTAGCTTATAGATATTCTTATTGTTAATATCCTATATTATAAAAGGCTAATATGCAAATCAACCGAATGGTGGAACTACCGTTCATGGTGCACACTGACCACCAGGAAGCAGACGCTCAATGCAGGAGCTGCCCCCTGGTGGTCAGTGTGCTCCCACAGAGGGAGTGCCGCTCAGCCAGAAGCCCTGAGCCGGACTTATGGCTGGCGAGTGCAGCAGCAGTGGCAGGAGCCTCTCCTGCCTCCCCAGCAGCGCTAAGGATATCTGACTGCCAGCTTAGGACATCCCCCTAAGCCATCAGTCAGACATCCCCCAAGGGCTCCCGGACTGTGAGAGGGCGCAGGCCAAGCTGAGGGACCCTCCCTCCCCACAAGTGCATGAATTTCGTGCACCAGGCCTCTAGCATATATATAATGTTCTTTTTAAGGAAGCTGTAAACATTAATAGAGACATTCTAATTTGAACATGTGCTTCACCCAGACTAGTCTTATCATTTAATTTCTGTATGATATTTTCTCAAATAGCTTATTATTGGCAAAATAGCTAGCTAGTCAGTTATAATTTTTATAACAATTATATGGGGTATGGTAGCATTTTGAAATGTTTCAATATAGAAGTCATAGTTGATAAATCATGTTTTAACCTGCACAACACTGTCAGTGCTGCTAGAAATGGATTTACATGTATATTCCTTCAATTTCTTTTAAAAGCCTTTAAAGAAAAATTTCTGATGAGATCATAAGCACCAAACATTTGCTAAACTGTTTTGCTGTGCATCCATTCAGTGGTCAGTTGTAATGTTCAAGAATTATGTTCTGGGCCTGATACAATTTACAACAGGATCCAGTCTCTTTCATCATTGTTTGGAGGTGCAGCCATTATGCTCCCCTGCTGCATAATAATGCTTGTCTCGGGTTTCAGAAGACATGTTTGGCAGCCTGGTGGGACAGTGGCTAAAGTATACAATTGGAGCTGAAATCTCAACATAAATTTTAAATGATTTCATGTAAAAGGACAAACTTACTGCCAGTGAACTTTACCACAGTCCAAGCAGCAGTGATTTTATTTCTAAAACAGTAAGTGATCTATTACCAGGTATCCTGTCCCTTTTATTAGTTGGCACTAACATAACAAATTAATTGGCAATATATAGTGTAAATTCGACAAAAAGTTCATGAGGTTTTGAGCTTAGCTGTTGTTTTTCAACTGAATTTTGATAAATTTTCTAGAGATTTAAGCACAAATATATACTGTCATAAAGAATATAATGCAGTTCTTCAGTTTCATTTACTTGACATTTATTGAGCATCTGTAGTAAACCCAGCAATGTAGTAGGTGCTCATTTCTATATAGTGTAAATTCGACAAAAAGTTCATGAGGTTTTGAGCTTAGCTGTTGTTTTTCAACTGAATTTTGATAAATTTTCTAGAGATTTAAGCACAAATATATACTGTCATAAAGAATATAATGCAGTTCTTCAGTTTCATTTACTTGACGTTTATTGAGCATCTGTAGTGAACCCAGCAATGTAGTAGGTGCTCATTTCTTTAGTACTCTACAGATTCCAGAATTTCTTTCATCACATCTGAGTAGGTTATTTTCATCCCCGAATTGAAATCACCATTGATTTAATGACATGAGTACAGAGAAAAAGGTAAAGGAAGTGGTGAGTTTTGGTGTTGGCTTGCCTTAGAGCTTAACTCCATTAAATGGCACATAGGCATCTTGAGGTATGTGGGTGTTGTGGATGTATCACTGTGGAAGCACATGCAAGAGAGAGACTTCTTAGCTACTCAAGGGGGAAAAGAAAAGATACTCCAGAGAAGTTAAGGAGGCTCAGGGGCCCACACTCAAGCTCAGCAGTAGGGTAAACATGAGTTTCCCAGTTCTAAGGTCTCTTTGAGTAGGAGCAAGCCCCCGAGAGCGAAAGCTTTTTTTTTTTCTTCTTTTCAGGCAGGTCCGTGAACCCTAATAAACCCCTAGAGCAGTGGTTCTCAACCTTCTGGCCCTTTAAATACAGTTCCTCATGTTGTGACCCAACCATAAAATTATTTTCGTTGCTACTTCATAACTGTAATGCTGCTACTGTTATGAATCGTAATGTAAATATCTGATATGCAGGATGGTCTTAGGTGACCCCTGTGAAAGGGTCGTTCGACCGCCAAAGGGGTCGCGACCCACAGGTTGAGAACCGCTGCTCTAGAGGGAAAAGAGAGAAGCAAGTAACACTCGGATTTAATTTCATTTTTAGTTGACAGTAATACCTTTTCAAGGTCCCATCAGATGGACAGGCTGATTGCTAATGAGGGAAGAGCCCATCCCTGATTCAATGGGACCTTAGATTCCTTAAGGGAAAGGCATGTCCTTTTTATCTCCACTACTGGGCAGAGTCGGTGTTTAACTGCTTAATAAATGAATAGTTAGGCAAATGAATGAGCCTATTCTCTGCTTTCACTTTCCTCTTCTCTGTTCTGTTTCTCCTGCTTTCTTTTTCATTTAAAACTTTTATAATTGTTGGTCTCTTTTTATGTTTGCCCCCTGTATAAACTCCTTGCCTCAGCCCAGGGTGTGTTCTCCAGTTACCTTCCCCCAGCAACTGGACATATGCCTGGAATATACTAGTAGTAGAACCCAATACAGAATTGTTGACTGACTTACTATATTAACCAGTGGAGACTAAAATTCCTCAACTGGGATTAATTGTATAAATCTAAAACCTGAAATTATTTAGATTAGTATACCTGAGTGCGATTTTTCTTCTTTGTGGGGGATTTTTAATGTTGATGAGAAAAAAAATGCTTTTAAAAGTTGTTAGCCACTATGAGGGTATTACTTTTGAAATGTTTGACCTAAAGATTTTCTCCATTTCAATTAGTGAAATTAATGTGCTTATCCCTGTATTCATTGCTGCCTAATTATTTGACATAATAGAATATTGCATTTTGTTTTTTTCAATGTCAATGAAGGTACCATTGGATATAACCAGCGGAACAGAATTGATACTCTCATGTATCTACTAGCATACCCACAAAAACCTATGGTTAAAACAAAAACCATTGAGTTGATAGAATTTGAGAAACTGCCGGCTGGACAGAATGCGACAGTTGCTGTGATGAGTTATAGTGGCTATGATATTGAAGATGCTCTTGTTTTAAACAAGGCCTCCCTGGACAGAGGTAAGTGAATTTTCAAAGCTCTGACACCAAAAGTGCTTGGTATAGAATTAGATATAGGGATGATCAGTGTAAAAATCACTTGGTGTCAAAATGCTAATGTCACTTTCAAGTGATTATAATTTTATAATATACAAACAAGAGGCAGTTATGTTGTGGTGTTGATTTTTTAAAAAATGAACATTATATAGAGGTAGTTTGTAAAATGTATTAGTCAGTAATCTTTTTTCTTATTTTACTTTATTGGTTACTTGAGGCAATTCCTCAGCAGAAAACACATAAGAATTTGTTTATTTTCCAGCAGAAATTATAATAAATGAAATATGGTTTTTTTTTAAATATATCTAGATACATATTCAACAATAAACCTGTTTGGTAGGGTCGTAGCAATATTTGTAGGTAAAAGGCTGTTTTGTTTATTGTATAACTCAACCTCATAATGTTAGACCTTTTTGTTGGCAAAATGATGGAAGTTTAAAAATACACATACATCAACCTTGACTTACAGTTTTTACAATTCTCTTTCTCAGTTTCTTGATAGTTTGCTTTTGCAGGTCACCACTTTATGGTTTGTTAGCCATCACCTGATCTGAAGTCTGACTTGTCTCTTCATAATCTGTATTTCTTTTTCTGCTCTCTGGCATACCCACTCTGCCTTCCCTTCACTCTTTGTAGTTGCTAGGCAGCCATAATAGTACTCCTAGACATGTGTCTTTGGCATTAATGTTGGCTGCACTTAATTTATGCCTCTTTTTTTCCTCCAAATGACAACAGCCATGCTTTAAAACTGGATGTTTTCTTTTCTGATTAACTGGTAACGTTTATGTGGAAATCTGAAGACTTTGTGATATCTGTCAGAAACTCCGCAGCACAATTTAACGATTAGAGTTTACTGTCCACTAGCTTTGAAGCTACCACCTGTAAATAAAATGTCCATTTACCCTTAGAAGAAAACACTTCTTGATTTCATGCAGTTCAGATTCACACTGCACTCCAGCATGTTGCAGTTAATGGCCATTGTACGAAATCTGAAGATCATGTAATGTTTCCAGAGTAGCTGTCTCTTGGAGCAGAATGTATTATGGCCATACACAATTTACTAGGAGCCATAATGACCAAGACCTTTTTCAAAGATACACAAATGTCTTCATCTGTTGTCTACTTGTAGAAATGTGTTGTTTCATTGAACAGTCATCTTCATATTTAAAAATTACGTTAGAGCACGGATAGTTTATTTAGAAATCCACTTTTCCCTGATTGATTTTCTAAATTCACATTCTTAGATTTCTTGAAAGTGTTCTGCTTTTGCTGGAGAATTTTAAATGAAGGATTTTACAGCCATGCATGTATTTAATCAGCAATACCTAGCATTTAACTCTGAGACATTTTCCTGTTTAAGTAAACTCTTGATGTGGCTCAGTATGTCCTGGGGAGCAGCCCTGGCTAGGTGGTTCAGTTGGTTGGAGCCTCATCCCGTTCAACAAAAGATTGGGGGTTCAAGTCCCCACCAGGGCATATACCTAGATGGTGGGTTTGATCCCTAGTTGGGGTGCATACAGGAGGCAACCAATCGACATTTCTCTCTTTCTCTCCCTTCCTCTCTAAAACCAATGAAAACATGTTCTCAGGTGAGGATTTAAAAAACACACAAAACAATAAATTAAAAAAAATTTTTTTTTAAAGAAAAGAAAATCTGCTTGACCAAACCAGGGTGGGAGAAGAAACAAATCAGTCACAGAGTCTTGGGAAAATATATTTAATGTTGAAGGAATGACAGCTCTTTTGGGCAACGCTAGAGCTGATGGATCTTTTTGTGGGATTCAGTGGTTGAGTTTTTTGTCCCATCTAAAGGTGTTCTTCTGCTCATTTTGCTTATTTTTTATCAATGTTTAGATCGTTAGTTAGTCTCAGGCCTTTTCCTTCATCCACTAAATAAATGTGATCTAAAAATATAATCAAAGTAAACTAATCTTAAGGACAGAGGTGAACTATTTCTGCCATTAAAGTCATTTGATTGCTTCTTTTCATTTTCTGTGCTCTTTGAAGAAAAATTAATTTTGTATATGCTTCTTTGGGACTTCCTCTACATGCTAATATCAGAAAAAGAAAAACTTCCCAGAGAAGTTTAGCAAAAGTGATGGACCAAAATGATTTGTAGGAGAAACCCTGGATGATCAGGAAACTCGGTTTGTCTCAATTCTGCCACCAACTTGCTTGGTGACCATGACCATTTAATTTCTTTGGACTTCACTTGTAGCGCCTGATAGGTAGAGGGGTTATGCCAGGTGATCTCTAAGGCCCTTTCCATTTCTCACATTCTGTGGCTCTGTGCTCTAAAAGAATCTCTCTCTCACCTTCCTCTGTGATAAAATATGTATAGTCCATGCTGAAAATGATTGTAGGGATTCCAGTGTTTGTATGGACAGTAGGTAGGAGGAGAAATCCTGAGCTAGTTCTTCAGATTAGTAGATTGTTATTTGGTTTGGCCAGTCCCAGATTATCCAAATATAGAACAGTTTTGTTTTTTGGGGAGGGAGAATAGGAATGGGGTGGGTTGTTGAATAACACAAATCTGTGTTTTCTCACAGTTTTGTATTACTGGTGATTCTGATACCCATTTTGGTTTCACTTTAGGTTTTGGGCGTTGCCTTGTGTATAAAAATGCTAAGTGTACATTGAAACGATATACCAATCAGACTTTTGATAAAGTGATGGGGCCGATATTGGATGCTGCCACAAGGAAACCCATCTGGCGACATGAAATTTTAGATGCAGATGGTATTTGTTCTCCAGGTAAAAGCCTTAAAAAAATTTAATGTGTGCTTTTTGAAATTATGAAAGTTATTTAATAATATATCGGAATATGTGGTAAATGGAATAGAAAAAAATCAACCTATAAAACCACTATCCTAACTCAGCCAGTATGTTCATTATTTGGTGAATTTCATTTCTGTCTTTTTATGCATATAATTTTACATAGCAGTAATCTATTCTAGTTCTACTTTCCTAGTTATAATTTGGAATCATAGAAAAGCCACTTTAAGGAAATATTTAAAATAAGAAGGTCATGTTCCAGCATCTACCCGAGTATATCATCATTTGTGCACTTAGCTTACAGACTGACTTTAGAACCTAATGCCTCTAAAAAGTGTGACTCCATTGTAATTATAAGCTTATAATGAATTTTGTTGATGCAACCTACAGCTCCTGCCCTGAGTCTTATGGGCTAGTGTGGGAAACACATTGATCAGAGAAGCACATATAAATGTATGTCAAATTACAACCAGATTAAGGAAAGATATAAGGAGCTATGAAGCCATTTTACAGCAAGAGTATTTGACTTAGGAATATTGGGGCAGCCTTCCTTCTGAAGTGAGCTGAAATCAAGGATAAGTGGAGTCAACCAATGAAGAGGGGAGAGTGTGTTCTAAGCAGTGGGAAGGGCTTGTGCAAGTGTCCTGCAGCTTGATAGTTAAAGGAACTGAAAGAAGGCCAGTGTAGCTACAACAAAGAGAGTATAGGGGAGCATGGTGAACATGAGTCTTAGAGAGAGAGAGAAATGAGGGGGGAGGGGAGGGATGCAGGGACCAGATGCAAAGCATTGTAGCCATGTTAGTATTTTAATTATGAAATGATCATCCTGACTACCACGTGGAAAAAAGAGTAGAAGGGGAGCCAAAATGGAGGAGGACCAACCGAGAGCTCTCACAGAGGACCAGACGACAGGAGATGTGGTGATGTGGAGAGAAGGGTTGGGTGGAGGAGGTTCTTAGGAGGGGAAGTCTGCATGACCTTGCCGTGATGGTGCATGGGTGGTGAGTATTGCTCCACTGTGGTGTCCTGAGCCACATGGTTCATGGCTTCCCCTCCTTGCTGCCTTTGCTCCTTAGAGAATTTCTCTCACTCTTCACCCAGGTCATATAGCTGGGAAGTAAGTGCTGTGACAGTACTATAGGAGTTGATTGTGGAGCTTACCATGAAAAGATGCAAAGCAAAGGTGACAACAGCAGGAAAATCAAAGAAATCTTTTTTTTTCCTTGCCCAAGTTAAGTTGGCAGTGACTTATTACTGGTTGAAATAACTATTAATAAAAATAAATGGTCCAAATCTGTTCTAACAACCTAAGAGATATATAAAATTGCTACATTTCTCTGGTTAATGTGGTCCCCTAAATCTGCTTAATTTTATGTACACTATAATCTGAATCTATGATTTTTTTAAATTGGGCTCACAGAATTACAAGCAAGCCCTCTTGAATTTTGGTTCCCACTATATGAACTCATTTTTTTTCCATGTCTAGACTTCATGGACCAAGTCTAATCACATTGTTTTATGCCTCAATAATCTTTACATATCACATAGATGGTAATGATTTGTCTAACCCTTGTTTCTTAGGTGAGAAAGTAGAAAACAAACAAGTGCTCGTAAATAAATCCATGCCCACAGTAACTCAGATCCCCTTGGAAGGAAGCAATGTGCCGCAGCAACCACAGTACAAAGATGTGCCCATCACGTATGTATTGATTGTGCCTTGGAAAGACGCAGAAAGATTCACCCTCATAGTGCTCCACTCACTCTGCTTTTGCCGATGACTTCCAGATAGACACCTGCCTGGTTTCAGCTTCATACTTGCACAGCTTTACAGGGCTCCGTATCCAGACTGAAAGCATCCTCTCCACCCCAAACAGGCTCCTCCGGGGTCCCTCTCTTGATGAGTGGCACCACCATCCAGCCAGTCACCTGCAACACAAACCTGACTCTTTTCCTTTGCCTGCCACACAAAGCCTAAAGCCTGTAGGCTCAGCAAAATGTATAGGTTCTGTCTCCTTAGCTGTCCCCTTATCCTCTGGATGACGGTGCTTGCTGTCTGAGTTCTGGCCCTCCTCTCCTGTGGGCTCCTAGTTAACTGTAACTGCACATCTGCTCCAGCCCTGCACCTCTCCATCTCTTAGGCTCTCTCTATTGGTACTACCAGAGTGATTGATTTCTTTTTCTAAGTTACTTATCGGGTCATGTGATTCTCTTGAATAAATAGAATAAAACTTGAGTAGATTGAGTACAACTCCCAATGGCAATGTTACCTGCGGTACAATACGTACAGGACTGACTGTGATCCTCAGCACACCTCTCTAGCCTTACCCCTTTGCACACTGGGCCCCATATTAGTGAATTGTCTCTTACTCTCCATAACATATCATCCTAATTCAGGCCTTCGGCACTTGCTCCCACTGCTCCCCCTACCTGAATGCCCTTCCACTGGTGAAGTCTCAGCTTCAGGGTCACCTTCTCTATGAAGCAGTCCTTGACAGCCTGCCCCTCCCCATCACTACTGTCATATCCAAACCCTAACAGGATTAACTGTTGTCTCCCTTGTGTCTTTCCTGGCATCTTCACTGTATTTGCCTTTTCCTCATCCTTCGTTGTATTGTGAGTTCCTTTGGGCAGTAGCCATGTCTACTTAATCTTTCTATGTTCAGAGTCTAAAAGGGTCTGACAGACTAGACTCTTAATAATGTTTATTGTATGAAAAACAGGTAAGAGAAGAGGCAAAGTATGTGAAAAAGTTAATGGGAAAGCTCAGTCAGTAAAAGTGGTTAAGAACTTGGAGTCAAGTCTGACAGGCATCAGCTCAAATCCCAGGTCCACTTCATATGTCCAGGGCACGTTCTTCTTTAAGCATCAGTTTTCCTTGTCTATAGTAAGGGAATAACAATATGTAAATACTATGTGTTGTGAAGATTAAGTTGCATTATGTCTGCCTCATAATAAATGCTTAGTAAATGTTAGCCATTTTAAACTAGGACTAGAAATGGGAAATTGTAATTGAATTAATATTAAAAAGGAAAGTAATTTTTCAGAGCCCAAAATGGGGATGTCAAAATATTCTGGGGTAGGTATTAAATAAAACCTGTGGTCTGGGGGTGATAGGTTTGGCAGTTTGAAACTCTGTTTTGTTGATCTCCTCTTAACACTAGCTACAAAGGGGCAACAGATTCATACATTGAAAAAGTGATGATATCTTCAAATGCTGAAGATGCTTTCCTAATCAAAATGCTGCTGAGACAGACAAGGCGTCCAGAAATTGGAGACAAATTCAGCAGTCGTCATGGGCAAAAAGGTAAATTGCTTCACTTCTCAGCTTGTTTATACTAGTAAAACTGAATATACTAAAATATTTATTAACCACATATGTAAGAGATGTTTGATATCTTTCCCCTATTAAAAAAATGTAGTATGTTTGAAAAAATTATTACATTGTCATCAAAATTATTCTTATTTTATTTCTCAAATTAACCTGTTTACATTTTAAATGCATTTTAAAATATACTGTAGAATTGCTTCTCTGTGCTATTTATTTCATTCTCCTGCAACTTCTTGGACCAAAGTTATAACTATAAATACATTCTAGATGACGTACCTACTGAAGTATAGGTAGCTGTTCAAAAAACCAATAGTAATACCTATTTTTTTATGAAAGGTACATATTTAAACTACTATATGTTCTGTTGGGTCATAATATCATAGGATGTCAGCAGTAGAAGATACCTCAGAGTTATCTGCCCCTTTATGTAACAGATAAGGCAGTTGAGACCCTACACGTTAAGCAGCCAGTCAGGTGCACCCGACTAGTCAGTTACTGAGCTGGTGTAAGAACCCCGGTCTCCCAACTCCAGTGCAGTGCTTTGTCCACTGCACAGCGTTCCCCCTCCTAGATGGTGTTTCTCCATCGGACCCCACTGGCAGGCCTCACGCTTTTCATTCAGGGTTACTGTTGGGTCTTCATCCATTTGTGGTTTTATTTTGTTTTGTTTTTTTATCTTCGAAAACCAAAGCATTGTGCCACTATTAATGAACTCATTATTATTATGGTCTCTTTTAGTCAATATATATATTGTTTAAGAGTGGGTAAGTTCATCCTGGGGTTTGAATTTTGGCTTTGTCTGTCGCTTTCTAATTTCAAGAACATTAGCAGCAGCTAATATTTTTGTTTTGTTTTGTTTTATTGCTTAAAGTATTACAAAGGGTATTACATATGTCTCCTTTTTCTAATATCATAGGATGTCAGCAGTAGAAGATACCTCAGAGTTATCTGCCCCTTTATGTAACAGATAAGGCAGTTGAGACCCTACACGTTAAGTAGCCAGTCAGGGGCACCCGACTAGTCAGTTACTGAGCTGGTGTAAGAACCCCGGTCTCCCAACTCCAGTGCAGTGCTTTGTCCACTGCACAGCGTTCCCCCTCCTAGATGGTGTTTCTCCATCGGATCCCACTGGCAGGCCTCACGCTTTTCACTGAGGGTTACTGTTGGGTTTTCATCCATTTGTGGTTTTATTTTGTTTTGTTTTTTTTTATCTTCGAAAACCAAAGCATTGTGTCACTATTAATGAACTCATTATTATTATGGTCTCTTTTAGTCAATATATATATTGTTTAAGAGAGGGTAAGTTCATCCTGGGGTTTGAATTTTGGATTTATCTGTAGCTTTCTAATTTCAAGAACATGAGCAGCAGCTAACACTTTTGTAGTACTGTGTGCCTGACTATGTTCTCAGCACTCACTTCTCACACGGTACTAGGAGTAGGTACTGTTATTATCCTCATTTTACAGAAGAGAAAACAGAGGCACAGAAAGATTAGTAGCTCGCCCAAGGTCCCCAGTTTGTTGGCAAACTGGTTTTTGAACCCTGGCAGACTGGCTCCAGAATCCATGCTCTTGAACTAACTACTATTCTGATTATTAAGCAGTGAGCATTGTGCCTGGCACATATGTATTTAATGGTAAAGAAAGGATAGCAAGATCATTAACAGTGGCTGTTACTCATTCTACTCTTCAACCTTGAATCTTACCCTCACCTTTGCTTATAAATTGCTAGTGTGATATCTTTTTTAAAAAATTGGTAATATTATAATATTCTTACTGATTTTAACTGTTTATTTGCCAAGCAAGTATATCCAATATTACAATTTGTTTGGTCAAATCAATCCAGCCTTAATTGTCATTCCATCAATGAAAGTTTTTCAGACTAAGATACTATTTCATCAAAAGTATTTTAGTTCAGTTGACAGATGCAGAATTATTTTACCCTATCAGTATTTTATAAGAGTTGGTTCCATTATAAGTCTAAATTTGACACCTTGCTTTGTACAATTTTCTAAGATGCTAACTCTTAATACCTTTTGAGTTTTTTTAAAACATATCTTGAGATTTTAGTTTTTTCTGCTGCTTACCAGTGACAATGAAATTCTCTGTTTCTTCTTCTCTCTTGGTCTTGATAATTTCTGAGATACACTCCTAAGTCATTCTGGGGTCATCATAACCTTGTTTACAGGCTCAGTTTTACTTGACCTATTATCTGGACAAGAGCAAAGCTTGATATTCTTATAAAATGTCAGCACTGGAAGCTTTACAGCAATATACACCATAAGAAAATACCTATTCTGAATCAGTTTACAAACTTCGCATATCCCAAATCCTTGTGCTTTATTCCATCAGAGTATTGTGCATACCTGAAGGCTGGCATACATTTCAGTGATTATCCACTGTGTTCTAACTCCCCTAAACTTTCTGAAGACAAGGACTATGTCTTTATTCTCATGAAGTCTGACAGAGCCTCTTTTATAGTAGTTATGTAATAGATAGTTGATAATGGTTGAATATGTGAATGAATTGAAGGTAGAGGAAATAGAAAGGGACAGATTCTCTACTCTTAATGGATTGGTTTTACATAGGTTTTGATCTATTATATGTGACTGTGTGTATGAATAATATGGACAAAGCAGTACTTTTGAAAATGGAAAAGCACACTTGATTAGTAAGTTCCTATAAATACAGACCTCTACATAAAATGTCAGTAAATCTTTGCGCTATAGCATTTTTCAAACTATTAATATGATACAGATAATTGTATCATTGACAGAAGTGGTTTCCAACTTGCAATGACCTAAAACTTCAGCTTTTAGAGATCTGTTCAGTCTTCGGGGGGCTTTGACTTGTACAGCTCTATGTGAAACCGAAAGAAGTCCTCCTGGGTTTAGATGACCTTTCGTTTGTGGTGAGGAGTTTATCTTGCTAGTTTTCCTTTTTCAGTTGGTTTTTAATCCAAGGTTGAAAACCTTCGATTAGTCTAGATTCCCTTGGTATTTCCTCCTTTTACAACTTTATCAGATTTATTGAAAAGATTGAGAAAAAAAAAACAGCAAACAAAAAATAGATATTGTAACCTTTTAACAGAGTAATATAAGGAAGGAATGACATAGAACCCTTAACTGAACATAATTTTCATTTCCTTTAAGTATAATTTTTTATTAAATAATAAATGCACATGGTTTAAAAAGGTCAAATAGTACAGAAAAGGAGGGTTTGTACTAAAAAACATCAGTCTTTGCCTTCCTTCCAGTTCTGCTTCCCAGAAGCAGTTTCTTCTCATTTTTATCTTCACAGTTTGTAGTGAATTCCTTAGACAGCTATATATTCATTCATCCATTTTAGATATTGATTTCCTATTATATGATGGATAGCAGGACCTACCACTTTGTTACCTTCTTCCATACTCTTCACCTCTACTTCCAGCACAGATTTATTATAATTTGGGGGTATTTAATTATTTAGATTCCATTACTATTACTACATAAATATTCTTCACTTCCAAGCCTAACAGTTGTTGGATGCATTTCCTTTGTTTTATAACTTTTTTTTTCTGAACTTAATAATTTCATACTTTTATTTGCTTCATTTTTCTTATACCTATTACCATTCTTCTATACCATTAGCAGTCTCTCAACAATTGTCCACACAATCAATAGTTTTTTTGGACCATATTTCCCCCCAGAAGATTTTCTTCATAGTGCCCCCAAAGACAAGGCAAGTAAAGGCAAAAATAAACGAATGGGACTATCAAGCTGAAAAGCTTCTGCACAGCAAAAGAAACCGCCAACAAAACATATAAAGGCAACCAACCGAATAGGAGATATTTGCAAATAATAGCTCCTGCAGGGGATATCCCATTACCACTCTGTCCCTGGATTGCCATTTCCCCTGAGATTTCCCCTTGGGTAAGACATAGCCTTTTCCTGAGTCTTACTGAATACTAATATTTCTTAATATATCTTTTCTGTTTCCTCCTTAAGTGGTCATCTTCTTAAAATTCCTATTCTTCCTGGATAAACAACTTTACATAGTACTTCTCAGCCACCAATCCAGAGTAAATCCTATTCCCCCAGATACTTTGTTCCAGAAATGCCTGCCAAACTCATATAAAGACATACTCCTAACATAGAGCTGTGTTTTCCAGTATCTCTTCTAAAATCAACTCATTGTAAAACATTATTCCCACTCCCTTTTTTGATTGGTGTTCTGGTCGGGTTTTATTTTTATTTTATTATTTATTTTTAATCTTTATTGTTGAATGTATTACATATGCCCCCCCCCCGCCCCCATTGACCCCTAGAGCTGTGCCACTGGGAGCACCTCTTCCCCCGGCACGGCCTGACCTTGGCAGCCATCCAGGCTGCCCCCTCTGGGTTTAGTCTCTCATGGCTGTGGACCAGGATCTAGAATCCCCTGCCAACAGCAGTCCTGAGGACCTCCCTTCCACAGTCAGATGCTACACCTGTCCCAAGGAATGCGGCCTCATTGTCAAGGTTATTTTTAAAAAATAAATATTTATTGTTAAAGTATTACATGTGTCTCCTTTTTCCACCATTGACCCCTTCTAGCCTGCCACCACCCCCCACCCCAGGTCTTCAGCACTTTATTGTCTGTGTCCATGGGTTATACATATATGCATATATTCTGGTCAGGTTTTAGTAGTCTTAGTTAAAATTCAAAATCTGGTAAGAATTTGAGCAGATATAAACGGAAATAAATTTTTGAGCCCTCAACTTTGACCATTCTCCTGTTCATCTGGCTAAGCTGTGATAGTTGGAACCAGAAACGGAACAGTGAGCTGTATTCACATGCAGTGGGCACAGCTGGCAGTGTCTCCAAGAAGCCACACAATAACCCAGCCCTTAGTGTGGGGGCCAGAGAGGAACTGGATCAGACCTAAAAGTTGGATGTTGGCAAGTAAAATGTGAATGAAACGAAAAATGTAGTTCACAATATTTATGCTATTTGTGG